TTGGCCAATCCCCCGGTCGAGGCCGCGGTCGAGACGGTGAGCGCGGCCGAGGTCCGGAGGTCCTCGCGGGCGTGGCGGAGTATGGCCCGAATTACCTGCTGCCGCAGCCCGCGGAGTCTAAGACAGCGCGGCGGAAGCGGCTGCGCGTGGACACGGCGGCGAGGATCTACACGGAAACTAGAGGGTGCTGTAGGGAAACTAGCAGGAAAAACGGAAAGGAAACCAGGCAGGGTGCGAGAGGAAACTCTCGTAAAGCCCAACGCCTTAGCCACCCTTTATCTTGCGCGGTTAGCGGGCGGGCGCCTTGCGGGCAGAGCCCTTAGCCACCCTTTATCTTGCGCGGTCAAAACTTCCCGCCAGCACTAAAAAGAAACAAATTCTCCCTGTTTTTGCCACCTTCCCAGTCGCTCCTCACCGCAAAGAAAGAGAAAGACCGCTCAACTCGAATCAACGCGATGATTCGCCAAGCTGATTCGCCCTGCCGTGCGCGCTCGCCCCACTGCCGTCGCGATCGCCTGCCGGTCTGCAAGAGCCACGCCCGCCGCTCTCAGGCGGTTGAGCAGGTCAGGCCTATCGATCCCGGCCAGCGCGCCCAGAGAGCAGCCAAGTCCCTCCATCGCCTCCAGCCAGCCGACCTGTGCCGGAGCGTATTCGCGAAACAGCTCGGAGAGAGTAGCCAGAGGCACGGTGACGCAAACTGCTCGCGACGCGGGGTCTTTAAAGTGGCGGAGCTGGTGATGGCCGCACGAGCACTGCAGGTACCACGGAGAGTTTCGCGGGTGGTGGACGATTCGCATCGCACGCTCCTCGTCAGTCCAGGTGGCAACAACGCACTCAAAGTTGACGCACTCACAGCCCGGCTCCATGCAGGCATAGAGACTCTCGCCCATGATGCCCTTGCCCATGGTTAGCGCACACACCAAAGCGGCCCCACGGCGACAGTAGTACGAGAGAGAGGAAAACAGACCACCAGCGAGTCGGACGGACGGACGGAGCGTGTCAAACTTTAATGCAATACTGGGCCGAAATTCTTGCGCGTGTGGGGCTCCGAGATGGCGGAGGAAAACTTTCATCTTTTTTCCCTTTCAGAGATGGTAGAAAATAAATCGAAATATTTTTTACGGGTGGAAGTACAGATAGATATCAGATTTGGAGCCAAAAAGGCATAAGACAGACAATAGGCACAGGTAACGGACACGATGGACGGGCTTGCGAGCGGGTGGGTTGCAACGCAGTCGTTGTGTCTTCGATTGAAAGTTGTGGTGTGTGCTGAGAGAAAGACGACAGATGTGTGTAGATGTGAGATTTTCAGTGTACGTACTTTTAGCTTACTGGGAGAAAAGGGAGGGGGGGTTGTGTTCCATGGTGTTCTCTAGGCCCCTAAGGGCCCTACGCGCGGCGTGAGAGCTTGGAAGCGAGCTTTGCACGGCGATCGAGGATGGCGCGGTTCACCCCCTTCACCGAAGCGATGGAGATGCGTTCCGCGTGGTGTGACACGAATGAGAGGCGGGAGTGGGGAGGGTACGCGGTGCGGTCAACGCCCGAGCGTTGAGCCTTGCGCGCAAGGCGGTTGATCTTTGCAACTGCTGGCGGCGAGAAGCCACCGCCGAACTCTCTCAGTGGATGTAGCTCTTACGTACGTACCCGAAGGTGAACTGCTGAAGGGTATTTTTGAAAACAGGGGCTGAGAGTGCTAGACAACCCAAGCAAGGGAGGGATGGGAGGACGGCACGCCGCCACCACAGGGATTTTAAGGAGAGGAGCGAAACGGACGGACGGAAACATCCCCCTTTTATGCCTGACCCTGTGCATGGCCTCTCTGGGGGTGAGCTGGGTCGGCCACCTCCGGGTCTGCAACTCGCACGGCGGGTCCGCATCCGGGCGAGCATCCGAGGCCCGCGGTTGTCCTTTCGCTGGGCGCGACCGCCATGGAGATCCGCTGCCCACAGATCAGTGCTTTTGTCGACTATTGCTCGCTCTCTGTGCACTCGCAACGCCAGAGGCCGTGCTTGGAGAATGCGTCGCAATGCTGCTGCGCCTGTGGATTGAGCCGCGGCGCAAGCTCCATCGGTGAGCTGCGGTGGCGCGCCGGCCGCTTCATGCATAGCTCTCCGGCGAGCGCGGCCGCGAACGCGTTTTCCGTCCGCCGTTTCATCGAGTTTGCCCGAGTGGTAAAATGCAATCGAAGTTGCCCGAGTGGTAAAGTGCAACTTTGGCATTTGGTAAAAGTTGCCCGAGTGGTCTGTGGGGAAAAAACCAAAGCGGAAGGGTGGCCCCGAGAGCTAAAGGTCAACATCCCCTCCGGCTACGACAATGTGAACCTGATCTGGTCCTCACGGGGTTGACCCGTCTCCTCCAGATCGAGACGGACTTCATGAACGGCCGAGCAATATTTCTTCATTAAAATTATTAATTGATGCCTTTTGCACGGGTGAGCCCCCCCCCCCCCCCCGCCCCTCCCCCGCGCCCATTCCCTGCCCTCTCCCGCCACACACTCCGTCAGAGCCCCCTCCCCTCTTGCACAACAGGAATTTTGACAATTATACGTCGACGAGTTAAGGCACAACTCTCAGTGGGAACGCTGGGGTCCAGGGGAGGAACAAAATGAAAATTGATGGGCTTGCCCATCCCGGAGTGGTTCGACCCCACACAAATCCGAGACGGTGACGGGAGGCGTCTCGGTGGTCTCAGGCCCAGTGAGGTAGTGCATCAGACTATCCCGGATCCTGCTGAACAAGCTCCTCTTGTAGCTCGATCGGTCACACCGCCATCGCCGTCGGGGAGAGGGGGGACGACACTGCTTTGGCAGCGTGCACCTCGATCCTGTACCGTTTGTTATGACCCCCTCCAATGAACACCCCAGTGAGGGAGGGCGAGACGATCGAGGGGTCCCGTACCATGCGGAATCGACCCTATCCAGTGCTCAGGTGCTCAGCTCTTACCGGTCTTACGTACGTAGCCGAAGGTGAATGAACTGCTGACAGGGTATTTTTGAAAACAGGGGCTGAGAGTGCTAGACAACCCAAGCAAGGGAGGGATGGAGAGAGAGATTTTAGAAAACCAACAATAAATCACGTCTCCTGGGATGGGAGGACGGCACGCCGCCACCACAGGGATTTTAAGGAGAGGAGTGTGGTTAAAGAAAGAAAGAATTCTTCAAATACAAGCTTCTCTCACAGCACACTGGCACGACAAGGGCGCGGACTTGCGCTCACACCGGCAACCAGAAAGAGAGAAACGAAGCAATGCCACCAAGTTTGCGGGCTGGTGCCATGTGCAGGCGGGCGAGCTGCTGCCTCCTGCTGGCCTTCCCGCTTGCCACTGGATCACCCTGGGGCCCGAGCGGGCCGCGGCTCGCTCCTGCACCGCCCGTGCCGCAGCCGCAGTGCTTCGACACCTCGCCCGCCGCCAAGCTGCGCGGCGGGTCTATAGCCGGCACGTGCGAGAGCGCAGCGCTCCGCGAAGTGAAGGAGTGGCACCCGGTGCTGCTTGCGCTGCTGGGGACCTCCTTCGGCTGGTTCATGACCGCGCTCGGCGCCGCCGCCGTCATCATCAAGCGGCTCGGCCTGCCGGAGCCGCTCTTCCGGAAGGTGCTCGACTTCTTCCTCGGTGTCTCTGGCGGCGTGATGACGGCCGCGTCGTACTGGTCGCTGCTCGCGCCGGCGCTCGACTTTGCCGAGCAGCAGGGCTGGGAGGAGGGCTGGGCGGCGATGCCGGTCGCGCTTGGCTTTGTGTCTGGCGGCGCGCTGCTGCAGCTGACCGACCTGCTGATGAGCAACCTGCACGAGTCGCTGGAGGACCTCTCGCTCTACAAGAACGTCGCAACCTCGGAGGGGTCGGCGACGCGGTCGCAGCGGCTGCGCCGCCTGCTGCTGCTCATCATCGCCATCACAATCCACAACTTCCCAGAGGGCATGGCGGTCGGCGTCGCGTTTGGGGCGCTCGGGTCGGCCCCGGGCGCGACGTTTGGCAAGGCGGTCTCGCTCGCCATCGGGATCGGGATCCAGAACTTCCCCGAGGGGATGGCGGTCTCGATGCCGCTCATGCGCGAAGGCATCTCCCCGCTGCAGGCCTTTTGGTGCGCTCTCCTCCCGCCGGCAGAGTGGCCGCTGCTCCTCTCTCCTCTCCCGCCCTAGCCTCCTCCTCTGGCGACGGGGGAGGCCCGTGCTGCAGGTACGGCCAGCTGTCCGGGCTGGTGGAGCCGATCGGGGGCGTGCTCGGCGCCGCGTTTGTGCAGTACTGCAAGCCGATGCTCCCTTTCACCATGTCCCTCGCCGCTGGCGCGCCGCCCTCCCCCTCCCTCCCTGCCGGGCCCTTCTCCTTGCCGCGGTTCGCCCTCTCACCCCGACGGGCCCTCTCCCGCCTGACCCCTCCCGCCGCACGGGCCTGCCCGCGCAGGCGCGATGATCTTCGTGGTCGCCGACTCGCTCGTCCCCGAGATGCAGGCGCACGGCAACAAGGCCATCGCGATGCAGGGGCTGATGCTCGGCTTCGTCTTCATGATGGTCCTCGACGTCACGCTCGGCTGACCGAACGCCAGCGCCGCTCACCCGCCGCTCACCCTGCCACTGCGCAGACACCACCGAGGTCGCAGCTAGTGGGCGCACACACCTCCTCGAGGAGATGGGGCGGATCAGGCGCGCACACCGCTCGTGCGCCCGCAACGCAACCGTCCGTGTACAGCCGCTCCGGTACTATTGTGGGCGTCGTCCCAGACATTGCGAAGTGTTTGTGCGGGGCGCACCTATAAAAGAAAGAAAGAAAACCTGGATAACACAAACAAGCCCGGAAGTGGGCGGACACAGAGCTCAGAGGGATGTTGGGGGACCTTTGATGATTGCCGATCGTGCTTCGTGGCCGAGACGGGACAGAGATCAGAGGTTGAGGACGGGTTCGATGCACTAGCCGCTGCCGTCGCTGGTAAGTCAGCGCCGATTCCACTGGCGAGACGCTGTTCAAAGGCAAACCCCCTCCAGCGCGCAGCTGCAGGGTACGCTAAAATGGCATCGGGACAGGCGCAGGTACATCGTGCCCGCCGGTCTCATCCTGGCCGCACCCGTGTCGCCCGCCGCGCCGCCGCCGCCGCCGCCGCCGCTCGCCGCGCCGCGCCTCCTCCGGCCGAGCCGCGCCGCCCTGCGGCGCAGGAGCAACGTGTCAACCTCGAGAACTCAATCAAGCTGCAGCGCAACATGACGAAGATGGTGTTTGGCGAGCTTGCCTACCAGCGGCAGCTCTTCCCGGAAGACTGCTTCGAGCTCAAGGAGATGGGCGGGAACCACATCCACACCTTGTCCGCCGAAAGCGACAATGTGCGGCCGCCGTCCTGCTCCCTCCGCCCTCTCTCGTCCTCCATCCTTCTCCCGCCACCCGCAG